TAACAAAAGAAAACAAGTAGATAAAATAGAAATAGAATAGAAAGTGCTAGTGTTAGAGTGCAAGTGTTGATGGAAGAGATGTGTTTTTTTTCTTTACATATTGTATTAATTTCTATATTCATTCATTTATTCACTATTTTACTTAATATGAAAGTGTATTAAATATCAGTATTGTGGTAATGGATTTATTCAGAAATTTCTTTAATGGACATTTTCAAAAAACATTTTTTCCAGGAAAAACTGTAGAATTTCTATTATATATTATTTTTAAAGATCTTATATTATATATATATATATATATATATATATTATATAAGATCTTTAAAAATAATATATAATAGAAATTCTACAGTTTTTCCTGGAAAAAATGTTTTTTGAAAATGTCCATTAAAGAAATTTCTGAATAAATCCATTACCACAATACTGATATTTAATACACTTTCATATTAAGTAAAATAGTGAATAAATGAATGAATATAGAAATTAATACAATATGTAAAGAAAAAAAACACATCTCTTCCATCAACACTTGCACTCTAACACTAGCACTTTCTATTCTATTTCTATTTTATCTACTTGTTTTCTTTTGTTATTAAAAACAACAACTTGACCCTCTAACACTTGCACTCTATTTCTACTCTACCTACTTGTTTTCTTTTTTATTTAAAAAATGACCCTCTAACACTAGCATTCTCTATTCTTTTTCTATTCTTTCGACTTGTTTTATTTATTTAAAATAATTGACCCTCTAACACTAGTGTTCTCTATTATTTTTCTATTCTATCTACTTGTTTTCTTTTTATTATTAAAAAAAACCTTGCTACGTGTACTGCGTTAGACTAATCAAGACTTGTCACACCATTTACATATTATTGTTCGGTAGCACTTTAGTTTTAGACCAATTCTTGCTATTAAGTAGTTGCTTATTAGCATGCCTATTATTAACATATTGGCTGTTCATTAGTACTTATAAAGCACATTTTCTGCATGACCATATTCTACATCCCTAATCCTACCCAATGCCTAAACTTAACAACTACCTTATTAACTATTAATAAGCAGCAAATTAGGAGTTTATTGAGACAAAAGTCATAGTCAATGGTTTCTTAATAGCGAGAATTGGACCTTAAAATAAAGTGTGACCTATTGCTCTTTTGTTGGTTTGATTGCTTCTATTGTCCTCATTTGTAAGTCGCGTTGGATAAAAGCGTCTGCACTAAATGTAAACAATACAATCTTAGCCAAGGTTTCTTCAGTTTCACTTACTCTGAATCTCAATGACCCTCTCTAAAGAGGCTGTGGCTTTTGGACATGGTTTCTGTTGAAGCACTGCCAGTGGTAGAGGATCCAACTGCAACACACAAAAAAACATGAAAAATAAAATAAATAAACTAATTCATGTTTATTTCATAAATAGGAACACTATTAAAAACTCACGCTCTGCTAATATTGACCTTGCTGTTTTTATGTTGAGGGTTCCAGAGACCTTAATAATGTATGTGTAAATGTGTATGTGTTTTGAAAATAACTTCTTATTTACCCTTCAAATTTTTCAAATATGATCCTCTGACCTAATTAAAACCAATTAGGCAAGTATTATTTAAGCTTTAACCTTTTGTTTTATCACGGAGACCCCAAAACAGAACTTGAGGGGTTAAAAAAGAAACACTGTTGAGTTATGCAGCTCAAATATAATAATATCATGTACTGTTCAGATGTGTGTGAATGAATGACAGGCACCTCGTCTCCAAGCAATGCAGCCACACAGGACTCGGATGCGTCACAGATGGCAGTGAGGTCGTGACCTCCTTCCAGCGCCAAAACCACACGGCCACCAGCCAACTTTATCAACTGCTTAGTGAGATGGCCGAAACCTACGCACAGAGCCAGGAGCATGCTGGGTAATTCATGATCTATAAACAAACTCAAAAGCCTTCAGCAAACCTTAACGCCCCCAATTTTAACAGAAATGTAGGTTAACAGTGAAAAAGACTATCATTCTGTTGGTCTAGTTGTACTACCAGTGTGACACCAATCTTTACTGCTCCCCCAAAGCAATGTCCCAGAACAACTGAGGTAGTCCAGCCTCAAATAAATAAATGGATTTTTTGTGTATAATGCAACCCCATCTATGCAATCAAGGGGCACAAACAGCATTTGTGCCATCTGACCTTTGGTACTGGAAACATTATTGAGACAAAAGTCATAGTCAATGGTTTCTTAATAGCGAGAATTGGACCTTAAAATAAAGTGTGACCTATTGCTCTTTTGTTGGTTTGATTGCTTCTATTGTCCTCATTTGTAAGTCGCGTTGGATAAAAGCGTCTGCACTAAATGTAAACAATACAATCTTAGCCAAGGTTTCTTCAGTTTCACTTACTCTGAATCTCAATGACCCTCTCTAAAGAGGCTGTGGCTTTTGGACATGGTTTCTGTTGAAGCACTGCCAGTGGTAGAGGATCCAACTGCAACACACAAAAAAACATGAAAAATAAAATAAATAAACTAATTCATGTTTATTTCATAAATAGGAACACTATTAAAAACTCACGCTCTGCTAATATTGACCTTGCTGTTTTTATGTTGAGGGTTCCAGAGACCTTAATAATGTATGTGTAAATGTGTATGTGTTTTGAAAATAACTTCTTATTTACCCTTCAAATTTTTCAAATATGATCCTCTGACCTAATTAAAACCAATTAGGCAAGTATTATTTAAGCTTTAACCTTTTGTTTTATCACGGAGACCCCAAAACAGAACTTGAGGGGTTAAAAAAGAAACACTGTTGAGTTATGCAGCTCAAATATAATAATATCATGTACTGTTCAGATGTGTGTGAATGAATGACAGGCACCTCGTCTCCAAGCAATGCAGCCACACAGGACTCGGATGCGTCACAGATGGCAGTGAGGTCGTGACCTCCTTCCAGCGCCAAAACCACACGGCCACCAGCCAACTTTATCAACTGCTTAGTGAGATGGCCGAAACCTACGCACAGAGCCAGGAGCATGCTGGGTAATTCATGATCTATAAACAAACTCAAAAGCCTTCAGCAAACCTTAACGCCCCCAATTTTAACAGAAATGTAGGTTAACAGTGAAAAAGACTATCATTCTGTTGGTCTAGTTGTACTACCAGTGTGACACCAATCTTTACTGCTCCCCCAAAGCAATGTCCCAGAACAACTGAGGTAGTCCAGCCTCAAATAAATAAATGGATTTTTTGTGTATAATGCAACCCCATCTATGCAATCAAGGGGCACAAACAGCATTTGTGCCATCTGACCTTTGGTACTGGAAACAGAAAAACAGCAAACTCACATTTGGCGGTGACATTATATCCACCCAGGGGGGACTGATGGCCCTCCACAGCGTCAAAACCAGCTGACACTAGCACTACATCCGGGGAGAACTCATTGGCTATGGGCATCACCACCGTTCTGCAAGCACACAGACAGCAAGACTCTGATTTACAAACGATCTGCACAGACTCCCATGAGACAACATCTTTATACAAGTGTAATCCAGAAACTAACTTAATACATTTTTAAAGAGCAATCGCTTTGATGTCCTGCCTCTAAAAAAAAAAAGCTAAATAAAAAAAAATATATATTTAAAATGAATAATAATATATAATATATAATTTTTGTCATATATATATATATGTATGAAGAGTTTGGTTCCAAAACGCTATAAATCCATTTTGATACAGATTTTGGCAGAAACTCAAAATGGCGTTTAGGAACCAAACTCTTCATATATATATACATATATACATATATATATATATATATATATATGTACACACACACACACACACAACAAAAATTAATTAAAAAAATATTATAAAAAGTATATTATAATAAAATAAATTCATGAAAAAAAAAATGCTAAAACCATTTCATGGGGTCTCAAGAACATTTTTAATGCTGAAAGTGGGACTATATTTTGTGTAAGGTTTTTTACATTTTCTCTATTTGTCTCCGACAGACAGGAAGTGCAGATCTCACCTGAAGGCAGTTAGATACTCCACATCACCCATAGGTGGCTCCACTCCACCTGTCCAGGCAATGTTGACATTAAAGCCCTCTCCTGGACCTACACCCACCTAGAGAGGAGCCCATGAGACGGTCAGTTAGAAATAAAAGACAATTTTGGTCATGTGACTACAGGAAGCAGCTATTCCCACAGTGACTAAAATGCTGTTACCTCCTCAGGAGCTCCGCTGCCTGGGAAAAAGTTGCCATCGTCATAACGGTGCAGGGAAATGTACAACACATTGGGGTCATTATAGAAGGCCTGCTGGGTCCCGTTTCCATGGTGAATATCCTATGAAAAGGATTGGAAGGTGGTTTTGTAACACAGACAAGTCTGGTTTTGTTCTTTGCTGTTCTATTAACAATCAAATTCATTTTAGAGAAGATTTTACTTTTCTAAAATCAGCTTAACTGAAAGAGTACAATAATATTGCTTGTCACATGTGGACTGTAACATCACAAGCGGCTCCTAAAAACTCACCCAGTCTATGATCAGGATCTTGCCCACCCCGAGTTTCTGCTGCAGGAGTTTGGCAGTGATGGCCACGGAGTTGAAGAAACAGAAACCCCTGCCAAGATACACACAGAGCAGTGGACGGTTATTCATGCGAACACACATAAATGATTTATCCATCTAGATAACACAAAACTCACACCAAGATATAAAAGTCCACACATGAATCATTAAAATGCATTTTGTTACTTTATGTAGTGTAAATTACGATGAAGTAAACAACTTTCCATGATGCATTGAAAATATATTTTTTTAATAAAATATTTGACACAGACTCTCACAGATTACTTACATGGCGGTTGATTCCTCCGCGTGATGACCAGGAGGACGGACCACTGCAAACCCGTTCTATCCATCAAACAAAACCAGAAGAGAAGGGAGATGAGGACGACATAAGAGATGTGATATAATATCTGAATATTTATGCCAGAACATCAATTAAACATGAAGCTGTGGTAAGAGAAATAAATATGAACCTTCAGTTCTCCAGCAGCAACTTTGAATGCCAGCTCAATGACGCAGCCCACCGCCATCCGGACAGCTCCTGACGAGTGCATCTCGTTCCACACTGTGTCACTGTCCACCTAAAGGCCATTAAATCATGTTAAATACTGCCACAAATGGGTGAACTCAGAACTGAGCCTATTTACGTCCTTAATATAAATGTCCATGGTTTTATTGCAGGACAATTCATTAGTGCAAAACCCTGAGTAATAATAATAATAATAATAATAGTAATAATAATTTATTTATTTATATAATTAATATATTATAAAACATAATTATTTTGTTATTTAAAAGTTTTATTTAAAGGTTTTGTTTTTTTAAATATTATACTTTAATAATAATAATAATAATTATTATTTAGATGTTTTATTTTATCATAGTCTATGTATGTATATATTTATTATAATATATAATGTATATATTCCAATCTAATTATATTATAAAACACTATTATTATAATTTAAAGGTTTTGTTTTATTTTAATATCACACTTTAATAATGATTTTTATTTAGATGTTTTATTTTATTATAGTCTACACAGTATATATCTGTATATTTATTATAAATAATATATAATGTATGTATTCCAATATAATCTAACAATAATAATGCTAATTTATTTAAAATAAGATGAAACATTTAATAATAATAATATATAAAATTAATATATTATAAAACATCTGTATTATTTAAAGGTTTTGTTTTATTTTAATATTATACTTTAATAATAATAATGATTATTATTTATGTTTTACTATATTATAGTCTACAGTATATATCTGTGTGTTTTTTATAATGTATATTCCAATCTAATCTAACAATAATAATGCTAATTTCTTTAAATTAAGATGAAACATTTAATAGTAATAATAATAATAATTTTATTAAAATGTTTAATGCATACTTTCATAATAATAACAACAACAACAATAATAATGATAATAATATTTTTTATGTTTTATTATAATCTAAATATTTATAATAATCTATAATCTAATGTAATAATAAAAATAATGTTACATTATTCAAAAAGATAAAACATCTAGATACTACAACTACTACTAATAATAACCAAGTACCAAATGTAAGTAAGGTTGCACAGTCAAGGAAAAAAAAACATTAACTAATAATACCATGGCCTACTTTTCACAACTCAAACAAATCCTAACTGACAAATTCCTGCCTACATTATTTGCCAGAATATTCAGTTTTGTTGGTAAATACCTCCTATTATTTACAGTTACATACATTGTGAATGCCATTTCATTCTTTATTAAAGAAGTGTGATGACTAAACAGATGAACAGACAAAACTTACCCCAATGCCTCCACACGGTAGGACAGCGTACATTTTCTGACTTATTGGACCTAGAAAATAAAAAAAGGCAAATCAGAAGCTGATCTGAAGGAGTGTTATGTTTAGCCCCACATCTGTTGTTCACACATTATCTATTCAGTTAATGGCATAATTGGCTATGCTAATTCAGTCTCGAGGATGCTCACTGGATGACGCTGACGCAACCATCATCTGTCTCGCTGTTCTACAAAGAGCACTCAAGGTCAAAACAGCCTGCACTTCTTCAAAGTGTGTCTCACATAAAAGTGGAGGTGGTGGAGTGATGGCAACTCTGTCCGCAGCTGAACCTTCTCACCCTCACACACACACACACACACACACACACACAAACGCACAATCGCACACACACACTTCGCTGGTGACTCAGAAGCGGGGGTGGGCAAATGTCTAGAACCTAAAAAAAGCCTAAGCGTCTGTCAAAGGAGATTTGCTTAAGCAAGCCATCAGATTGGAAGCAAGCAAGGGAAGCTTTTTGTGGATGGTGTACTAGGAGGAGAATCCTAAAATCAAGACAGCAGCAACTACTTACATCACAACAGAGAGCTTTTAAAACACACCTAAAAGTTTCTTGCTGTCCAGCTTCTGTCGGTTCAGTGGACTGGTGCCGTAGAGCAGCGTGTGGTACTCAGAATGCACAGTTTGGATTTCATCTAGTGTGGCCTTCCTTCCCCTGATCCTCTGCACACAAACAAACACAGAAGCACATTGAGGTAACGTCTATTATTATTATATATATATATTTTTTAAAGGTTTATGGCGTTTTATGCCTTTATTTAGATAGGACAGTATAGGTCGACAGGAAGTGAAGTGGGTGAGAGAGAGGGGGATGGGATCAGGAAAGGTCCGCGAGCCGGGACTCGAACTCGTGACACCTGAAGCGCAATGGCGCTGTATGTCGGCGCGCTGCCCAAGAGTCCATCGGCGTCGACTATTATTTGTTTGTTTTGACAAATGAATTTACATGACTCTTCTATGATATTTTTTTTGTGATTAAAGATTTTTTTAAAAATCACTTTGGTTCAGAGTCACTATAAATTATTTTTAAAATCTAATTCTAATTTCATGTTTTCGCTCATTGAACTCTAAATTGTGTAGCTGTGAAATTTTACCACTAAATGATTGGTTAAATTATATTATAAAACATGCTGCTCAAAAATATTAAACAATTGTGTACACTATCATTTAAAAGTTTGGGATCAGTAAGGTTTTTTAAGTTTTTTAAATAAGTCTCTTATGCTCAGCAAGGCTGCATTTATTTAAACAGTAATATTGTGAAGTATTATTACAACTTTAAAGAAATATTTCCTATTTTAATATATGTTAAAATATAATTTATTCTTGTGATGCAAAGCTGAATTTTCAGCATCATCACTCCAGTCTTCAGTGTCACGTGATACTTCAGAAATCATTCTGATATACTGATTTGGTGCTCAAGAAACATTTCTTATTATTATCAATGTTGAAAACAGTTGGAAACCATTTTTTCAGGCATTTGTTGATAAACAGAAAGTTTAAATTACAGCATTTATTTGAAATAGAAATCTTTTCTATTTCAAAAACACTGTAAATGTCTTTACTGTGACTTTTGATGCATCCTTGCAGAATAAAAGTATTTATTTATATATATATATATATATATATATATATAAAACGAAAAGGGAGTGTGTTTTTGCATTACCACCAAGCTTCCTGTTAATCGCTTCTGGCTGACCCTTCCAGCAGGTGGCGCACTTACCTCACAGCGACCAAGCAGCCCTGTTTCCTGTAGCCTGGACCAAACACTCTGAATGCGACCGGCGTGTTCGGGATGGATGTTGGTGTTCCCACATATGCACTGGTGCTTTAGCATGAAGGTGTCATACACCAGCCCTGCAGAGAGAGTGAGGAGATTATTACAAATAAAAGTCTAGTACAAATACAATGAAACATGAACTGAGATGAATCTACTATGCATATTGTCTTTTAGATCAATTCTCCACTCTGTGACTGATAGACAGCGGAGCAGTGTACCTGTCGTGAAGAGATGCTTAATGGGCACCTCATTCAGGGGCGCTCCTTTAAGACTAGAAGTGACGGGGGACGACTGTGCCCTTCCCAGGGGTCTGTGGGGCATTCCCGTGATGGACAGAGAGGTCTGGAACACATTCAGTTGTTGCACATGCTGCTGGTCCAAATACTGCGGAAAGAGCACACAAACATCATGAATTCAGTGCCGTTCAACAGTTCAGTTCGACTCTGTTTGATTCAGCTCATTTAAATTCAGTTGAGTTCAGTACACTTTGAATCGGTTCTGTTCAGTACGGTTTAATTCAGTTTAAATTAGTTTTATTAAGTACAATTTAAAACAGTTCAGTGCAGTTTCATTCAAGTTCTATTCAGATCAGTTTCGTTCAGAAGAGTACAATTTTTTTTTCTGTTCTGTGCATTTCAGTTCATTTAAACAGCAATTTTATTTTAGTTTGGCTAAAAGAATAAGCTTTTCTTTCAGTTCTGCTTAATTCAACCGAATATTAATCATAACTATAATATTATATAAACAATAAAAAATAGAAACAAAATATTAAAATATAACATTATCATGTTAAACTGATGGTAGCAGATGGTAATAGTGGTACTAACCTTGGTACTATGGTATTTAAACGGTATTTTGAATACAATCCAGTTGAGCTTCATTTACTTAGCAATGAACTAGTTTTAATGTAATTCAGTTCAATAAACCTTAGTTTTGGAGTTAAGTCAAATCAGTGTTTGAAAAGGGCTCCAGCCAAGATCATTTTCAATAATTGAAATAAAATAAAATAACATAATAATGAAACGACACAGATGAAATAAAATTAGAATTTTATTTTATTAGATTTTTCATACAAGATAAAAAAACGTAAACTTACAAAACTTACATAACAATGTTGCCGTGGCAATTAGCTGAAAAAAGTTGAAGTTGAAGTAATTAAAACTACTAAAATGAAATGAAATAAAATAAAATTAGAATTTCATTTTATTAGATTTTTCATATAAGATACAAAAAAAAGTTAACTTACAAAACTTACACAACAATATTGCCTTGGTAATTAGCTGAAATAAGTTTTAGTTGAAGCAATTAAAATGACAAAAAATTAAAATAAAATAAATGTATAAGTTCAAATAAATTACTAAATTTAAGTTAATATAAATTCTAAGTTAAAATAGAAATATAAAAAACCCTAAAAACAAATAAAATTGCCAAAAGTGCTAAAATGAAAATGAAAACCTAAACATGAAAAAAAAGCTAATTCAAAATATTAATAATCACTGTAATTGTATATAAATAATACTAAAATAACACTGGAGTATGTGTGCAAAGAATAAGTTAAGATCATAGCAGACTAAACATCAGTCCAAGCACACGGTCTGGACCATCTCACTAAAGAAAGTCAGCAAACATTTGCCAAAAATCTACTCAAAAGTCTCCAGCAGTAAACAGCCTCAGAGTCTGCTCTATATCAGATGAGCGGAATGAATGAACGTGTGTGTGTGTGTGTGTGAGCAGCGAGACAGCCGCTGATGCAGGACAACGTGCGATGGAAGCACATGCGAGATGATGAGATTCATACTAGTTGTTCTTTTTTCTTTTCTTGCACGAGACCTTGAGGTTGAAGGTATGCCAGCAGACACAAATTTTCACAATTCCCTTTTTCATGCCAACTATCTCTTTATTCGAGACGCTAAAGCCATGCAGCATCTGTCTCACTCACTATGGAAAGTGACGGGGGCTCAATTTGTATTCAAGACACTCAGGCAGACAAGCAGAGGCATTCACACACACAAGGACGTAGGTGGGGGTGTTTTAATGAGAAGGAAAGGCCAGCTAGGGTCTGTGACTGACCAAGGAGTGTTTTGTGTATCGCTGCCTCAATGGTGACTGCATGTCACCGCACAACAGACACACACAAACACACACTGCGGCGTGTCACGTCACCCTGGTGGGCTGTGATTGGGTGTGAAGTGCAGGGCAGTGAAGGCGGGCGGGGTACGGAGGAGGAGATGAATCACCAAGGAGAGATGAGTCAGAGACGGTCCATTCACAGGGGAGTATATGTGTAGATATGTGTGTGTGTGTGTGTGTGTGAGTGAGTCTGCCGCTGTGCGAGAAGGATGCAGTCTGAATTCTAATGCCGTGCTCTTTTGAATTTTTTTCTCAATGATTGCAAGCAGAGTGAGCGCGAGCGAGGAGGAGGGTGTTGCTCTTTTTTCAATAACTTTCTCTCCTGCTCATTCACTTTCACTCATTCATTTGTTTTTCTTTCGTCCCTCCCTCACAACAGCAGTGTCTGTTTGTGGGGTCTGTGTTAAGATCAAATTGAGCTCTTTTGGAGGATAAAATCTGCCTGGATGTCATGCAAATGAATGGGCTGGAATACATAACGGCATAAATCACCGCAGTGGTGCTATCGTTATATATATATATATATATCAAATAAAATGACGAATAAGAATTGAGAGATCAAAATAATGCACATTTCTTAATAGATTAATTACATATCACAAAATTACACGCACACTAGGCACAAAAAATCCTTATGTATAGTGAGTATTTGCAGTACAGTGAAAATAAAGACAAAAGTACTTTGTAAAATACTAAGGCTTAGCTTTAATAGTAAAAAAAAAACATGGTAATATCATGGTACCTTTAATAAGACGCAGAGTTATTATTATTAACTTAAACAACTGAAAACATTTTGTTGATTTAAATAAACGTGAAATAAAATAAAATATAAATATTAGATGAAAAACTGCAAATAGTTGAAAATGAAAACTGAACTAAAAAAAAAAAATTTAAAAAGAATAAAAATGACATAAGCACATTACAAAATTACTAATAATTAAACAAAACTTAAAATGAAGACTGAAAAGATAAATGTAATATAAAAATGAATTCAAAATATTAATAAAAACCATAATAGCATATAAATCATATTAAAATATAAATAATATATTACAAAATATATCATTACCATGTTAAGCTGATACTATGGTATTTAAACAGTACTTTGAAGAATGCCATGGTATTACTATGAGAGTTATGTAAAAAAAATTTTTTTTTAAAAATAAAGAAAAGAAAAAAGAAAACAGAATAACCATTGTGCCAAATCCAAAATCCATGGTAATACAATAGAACTTTTTTACAAGATAAGATAAGAATAAGATAAGAATAAACCTACTCAGTAACGTTTTAAAAAGAACTATAGTACAGTGCTTGTATCGGATGGTAAAACCATGGTACTTTTTTGCAAGATAAGAATAAATCTGCTTAAGTGCAGCTCTTTGACAAATACTGATTTTACACTTCCTGAACAAAATTTGAGTGGTGCTTGCCACTATTGGCACCATGAAGCTAAGAAGTGTTTTTAGAGCTTTGCTAGGTGGTTGCTTACTGGCTCAAGTCACAAAAGCTTACCCCTGCTTCCTATATGCTAGAGATTCATATTAAAGTTTAATAATTTGAGATAAGAGTTTGTTAAAAACCCCAACTACATATGAGCAATAGTAATACCTCAAGGCTAAACACCTAAGCAAGCAGCACTAACTAGACAAACTTTAGCTCTCGGAGGAACCCCCACCATCGTTCCCAAGTCAATTTCATTGCGTCATCCTATCTAGCAATTATTTATGTGTCTCTCTTCCCCTCTTCTCGCCCGCTCCCCTCCTGCCTCCAGTAGTGAGTCACTGGTGGGAAGAAGAGAAGAGAGCAATCTTCCTCTTTAAGATTCTTTTCAGGGGGCGAAAAAGCTGCAAACGCTCTGGTTGAGAGGGATACCCTCGATCTCCAGTCACCAAGCCCCCGCATGTGCGTCCCAACACTCATCAGGAACTTGCCTACGCACTTAAGCTCTCGAAAAGTGCAGTGACAGAGTCATCGGAAAGACATTAGATGCATCTTAAAAGTCTAATGACAACAAAATCCACACAGCTGCTTCTAGTTTCAATAAATACAAAATAATACATTTAAGAAATTACGTTAAGCTGCATTACGTGCATAGGTTTTGCACGGTGACTCATGCAGTGACTACGCTGCTTTTTCATAAATTCGCTCAACACTAAAGCCAAAGAATGTTTCTGAATGTGTTGATAGCTTTGTATGTTATGCAAAATAGAACGGGGATGGGAAAAGATGATAAAGGAGAAAGGGGTAAATATAGAAAGCTGTCTTAACATGGTAAACAAGTAGTACACAAAGATAACTGCAATTTTAGAAGGTCAGTGATCCTTAGAAGTTCAAGAAACTAAAACTATGCAAAATACATGTTGGCAGTTCTGTAATATACTTTAGTGAAGTGTGTAATTTTTTCTATTTAAAATAGCAATGGCGCAACCTTGGCGTGGGACTAGCAGTTTGTTAGACAAATGGCAGGCGGAGGCAAGTTCAGGAAACCTTGTTAAAAACAGCCATTATTATTTGTTGCAATTGACCATTTGCAAAGAGTTTGATTGACAGGCGATCTGACCAATCATAACGCCGAATCCGCCATCTTGCCCAACAAACAAATCAGTCAGGAGAGTAGATTAACTTTGGTGGACTTAAACTTGAAAAATGTTGTGCATTGATGTCCATCCACGGTACGTTCTGATGTTCATTCATGTTTATTTCGTGTTTTAAGTAAATATGAAAAGACGATTGGTTCACGATTGGCGCTTGAACTGAGGCAATACAGCAATCTGTAACGACACATTAAAGAGCCACAAAACGGTATTTATTGTTGGAATTTCTTAAAAAATGACAAAACTTTAAAGACAAGACCTTGTTTCATACCAGAAGTAACCTGCTCTGTCTTGTCTGTTGTCATGTTGTCAGTTTCCTCTTTGCTCCGCAATGTATTTTTTACTGCGTGAGAACATGATGTGTGGTGTGAGAGTGGCACGGACATAGCAACAGTAACTAAGGAGGGCGGGTTTTTGCAAAGGGTCAATTCCGTTTGGTGACACTAATAGCACAGAAATTACAAAAACTTTCAGTATAAAAAAAAACAAAGCTGTAATTTCTCACCTGGCCATAGGGGGCGCCCTCTTCATCACATTCCCTCAGTTCAATGGCTTCGTCTTCATCATCATCTTCCTCCAAGTCACTTTCTGTGCTTTCTCCCTTCAACGGAACCAGACGTTCCGAAGGGGGTGTGGTCTCGCCGGAGCTCTCTTTCTGTAACCCCTCCCTTACGTGATCAAGGCCCTCCCCTCGCTCGTCCTGCATCTCTGCGGTTTCTGTAAGCTCCTCCTCCGTCTCCTCGGGGTGCGTGGGAGGCTGCCTTGGAAGCTCCGCCCCTTTGGAGAGGATCTGAAAGGAGGTGGAGCTTATTAGCATTTTTTTGCATAATAGCTTGAACAGCATCAGATATCTGATCCATATACCTTATTTAGCTGGTAGTGTTTCTGTTTCTCAAGGAAGTGCTGGTGCTGCTGTTGCATTACGAGGTGCTGCAGGGCCTGTGGTGTTTGCGGCAGGGGCGCTGATTGGGTACGGCTCAGTGGCCGGTGCCTAGGCAACTTATTCACTGTACGCATGCTGTTGGACACCCGCTCACCCGTTACCAGCGGAGATTGCCCATACATGGGAACTGCGGGATAAAGATCAAGATGAAAAGTGTAAGCTGTTACACCTACACATCAAACTGTTTTTAACATTAATTTTCTTGTCAACTTGGTATCGTAGTACCGTGACTTTTGACATTCCTTGTTAGCACACTGCAGACCTGACCTGTAAGACCTGAAAAGTACTCAGCGCAATTACTTGAATGTAGACTGCTCTAGCGATGCAAGTTTAATTTTGCACGTTGTTTTTTCCCACGGTGGACATTAGCATAAATTGTCTCAGTTTTCAACTCATAGTAGAGCAACAGTTTGAAGAGAATCTTGCAGACCAAATAAAAAATCAGTTAAACTGTCAAAATGTGTATAGCTAACTAGTTAGTAACCTGAATAATGCATCTGGCTTAAATCGAGCCACGAGTACGAAGAAATATTACGGTCAGGGCAAAAATAAGAGTACATTTGTATCTGCATTAGGGGTGGGTGATATGACCAAAATCTTATATAACGATTTGAGTAATTTTATTTCACGATAATGATATATATCACAATATAGTTATTATTGCTTTGAATAAGGTCTTTATGATAAAAAAATGTTTATACCATAGAAATTTCATAATTCTTGTCACCCATGCAGTGTTAATTTTGACAGCAAATTTTGATTTAATTTTAGTCATAGTCTTTTGACTAAAATGCCATTTAGTTTTAGTCATATTTTAGTTATCTGAATTGTTTTTAGTTTTAGTCTAGTTTTAGTCGACTAAATCTACAGTAAATTTAGTCGGCTAAAATCTAATGGGTTTAGTTACAGTGTAATGCATTTATTAAGCATGAATCTCTTCCCAAATCGTCCCTCCCTAACAATAGATTGTCAATAGATGTACGTCATAGTTTTTGTCATTCAAAAAGAGTTTTAGTTTGTTATCGTCTTGTTGTCGTCGGTGAAAAAAATGTCGTTGACGACAATTATGACGAAAATTATTCGTCAACGAAATTAACACTGCACCCATGTCAATATCACAAAAAAAAACCTGATACCAGCCTAAATAAAAAAAACAAACAAAAAACAAAACTCAAACTCACTGAACACAAGGAAACAGCCAGCAATTAAATACGATTAAGAAACTAATTACAAGCAATAGGAAAAAAACTACAGTATAACAAATAAATAAGACATGCTACATACATCGTGTAAAGTAATCAAATGTATAAAAACACTGCATATTCTTCACTGTATAAATTAAATATATATTTCTTATTAAAGTTACAAAAGTGATTTAGACTAGAGCAGGGAGAGATTTTCTCTCTTTTGTTGTTTGATTTAACATGAATGACACATTATTAGACTAATGTCACTTTAAGAGCTGCCTGGATAGAATATACTGTTACACATGTTTTCTTTCTCAGCAGTTTGCTTTCACTTAAAACCTGAATTACTCTGTTTACATGGATACATGGGCATTTTAACTCATAAAAGTGTATTTAACCGTTCAAGGCCTATAAAGAGCCAAAAACAACTCCATTTAACACTCCGGTGCTCTGTGAGCACCGTCTTCACGTATGCACCTCTCTGATAGCGCTCAGAACCAGCCTCTCAGACAGTGCACGCATATAGCAAAATTAGTTCTCTTTTGCTGCTTATTGCATTTCAACTGCTTAAAGTCACTTGATTTTAAACAGCAATGCTTAAAATCGCATGTAAACAATACGTTTTTGTGACCACGTAGCACAGCAATGTCACATGAACGTGTAAATGCGATAGAGAAGATAGTTGAAAATCTTGACTGGTTGACATATTTCTACCGGTTAATCATGTCTACCAGTATATCTTCCACCCCTAATCTGCATACTTGTGTAAAGTATGTTTCTTGCCTTAAGGCACTGATGCATGTACCATTACATTTACATACAACACATTTACATTTATAGCTTTTTGCATTGCATTCAGGGTAACCTGACTGTATAGTATGAATTTATGTGTACCTGCGAGAAGTGCGCTCTGTTGACGAGCCTGCTCCAGCAGTAGGACGTGCTGGAGCAGCGAGGAATGGCTACTGTGGCTATTAGAAGCGGAAGGGGGCTCGGGGTCATGGGGTGCCCCGGTGGGAAGGCACGTCGGCAAGGACGATGTGCTGATGAACTTCCCTGTCAGTGCCCCACCTTGACACAAACTCTGGATTGTCTGCCGCTCTGCCTCCTGCTGGGCACTGAATTTCTGAGGAGCCTAGAGTAGAGGAGAAGAGAATGAGAATTTATTCTGCAGACTTGGGAACACTAAGCTGCTTAAAGCTGCAACCAAGGTACCAAAGCCTACAAGGCTGTTTTCACACTGGGTTTGATTGCTTGGTCCAAACCAGAACCAGTTTGATTCCATCCCCTTCTAATGCCCCGCTGCTCTGCATTCACATTGTACTTTTTGGTCCTTTTGTGTCACCACTGTGAGAGCTTGTTTTATACCAGAGGTGTCCAATCCAGTTGCTGGAGGGCCAATGTCCTGCAGAGTGTAGCTCCAACATGCCCCAACACACCTGCCTGGAAATTTCAAGAAACCCTGAAGACCTTGATTAGCTGGTTCAGGTGTGATTAATTAGGATTCACGAGTTCACACTTACATATAATAAACTGAGTAAAGGTTATGCGTATTTGGCGTGCTGTCCGGGGAGAGGGCTCCGAGCTCGGTAATTACTCTCGAGCCCGGGGTACTCCCCCTGTCCGGGGAGAGGGGTCCGAGCTCGGCTTTTAGCTCGGACCCAGAGCGCTGGGGTAGGAACAGGCTGAAGGTGAGGAGTCGGGGTAGTGGAGGGATGCTGAAAGACTAGAGATAATGAAGGTAAGACTGCTTTGATTATTTATAGGGGTTCTCTCTTGTGCTGGTTGGATAGATGGTGTAATGATGGATTGGCCGTGTTAATTATCTGCACGTGCTCCTCCCGAAATTTGTTAATAAAACATTACTTGAAGGTAAACTCTGCAGGACAGTGGCCTTTTCAGAGAAGGAATGTACTCCCATGCTTTATACTATAATTGTGACCAGGAGTGTGCAAAGATGCAAATTAGGCATCATCAAAAGTGGTTCACTTCTGCAATTTAGGACAAATAGCATTCAAACCAACTGTAGTGTAGTTCACATGAACCGTACCCGAGAATGGACTAGGGTTTGGATCAATGGTGTGCATCTTCTGAAAAACACTTTCACATCAATCAAACTCTTGAGTCCAGACCAAAAGCTCTAGGGTAAAAGCATCCTAATGATCTAGCAAGCCCACTAGGGTTCAGCCTACACCACTTGCTAACTCTGAATCACCATCACGAAGCCACCAGGCTTTAGCTGAGGACACTCACCGTGATGTGCGCGTTGGCAGGCAGTCCAAGAGAGATGTTGGGCAGAGATGGAGAGGTGTAGAGGCTAAGGGGACTCGGTGTCCCATCTCCAGTCAAAGACTGATGCAGAGAACGCAACTGCTGCCGAAACAGAAAGGGAGAGAAAGACGTGAGCCACACAGGACAAACAGCAGACCTATATTTCAAGATGTACACTTCAAACAGCACAAAGAATCCGTTTTATCTCAGGAAGGCATCCAAGACAAGGAGTTTCTGCTTGACTTGATCACTTGAAAGCATTCTTCTTTGGAAATCCTTACTAAGTTGTGACGAGCAAAGCAGCATGTGGGAATGGATTGTCTGTATTTGGGACTGGATGAGCGCCACTTGAAGAAGACAACAGTTCCAGTTGCCACGTTAAAGAAATGAGCTAAGGAGTTATAAGGATAATTAAAATGCTTGTTTTTTTTTCTAATTTCTAAAGACTGAAAAAATGTCCCTAAAGAAAGCTATGTGAGAAATACGGAGGTGTTTGTGAGTACTGGTAATCCCATCATCTGACCCTATACTTGGAGCGCAGCCATTTTCAAAGCCAAAGAACAAAAACTAATGGATCTGCTTTACAAGGCAACGTTTATTCATTCCCAAAGACCCAATTTAAGCCTTTCATTATAAGTTGTTCGTACAATGTACGTCATTCTCACTATGACAAAAAGGTTACACTAAGAAAGACGAGGAAGAAAAAGACAAAGCGGACATTCCGTGGCAGAGCGCTCTACCTGCAGCAGAGATGATGTCAGCATTCTATTCTCCTTCACATTTATCCATCACTTCTCTCGAGGTTGTACTGCTAGGCTACAGAGGCTCAGGAATAGCGATCTAAGACTATTTTTGGGGAGTGGTATGCAGCCTTTGCATGCTGGACAGAGCTAATGAGGTGATTCTTAAGTCATCTCCACTGGCGCCCATTTGAAGGGATTTTTTTTCTCTGCTTGATGAGACTGATGAACTTTATTTCTTTTCTCTTTGACAAAGTCCAGCACACTTCATCCTCATCACATCCACTAGCAATAACCTAACATGTTAAAAGATACTATACAAAGGGATGCTAAAATCAAATGTTTTCTACCCTTTAAGAAAACAGCGCACATAGTCAAGACTTAACACATTATGTACCACTAGCAAAACTGTTTCAGAAAAAAAGTGAATGTCATCAAACTTCGTCAGCAAGCATGGAAAATTCCTCAATTTAAACATGGACTGCGATAAGGATGGCATGACCAAAAGCGTACATCACACTATGAGTAATTGTATATATGGTAAAAATACATATCACAACATTCATTGACAAAAATGAAAAACATACATACATATTATTATGATAATTATTAAAAATAAAAATATAAAAAATATTAATATAAATTTTAGAATATTATATGTAAATTTTAATATTAGAAATTACCACATGGTATTACCTTTTAAAAAGAATCTAATTATATATATATATATATATATATATATTTATATAATTCGATTTAAAAAAAAGGTTATTACAATAAAAATAGTTTATTACAAAGTCATAAACTACATGTAAACACTGTAAATGGCATTATTTGTTTGTTTATATCCTATTTGTTTATATTCTATTTTAAGGTCCAACTCTCTCTATTAACAAACCATTAACTATGACCTTTGGCTCAAACTACTAATTTTCTTCTTATTAATAGTTAGTAAGGTAGTTGTTAAGTTAAGTAGGTATTAGGTAGGGTTAGGGATGTAGAATATGGTCATGCAGAATATGTGCTTTATAAGTACTAATAAACAGCCAATGTGTTAATAATAGGCATGCTAATAAGCAAGTTACAACTAGATAATAGTAAGAATTTGTCCCTAAACTGAAGTGCTGCCATGTTTTGTTTTGCATTTAATACGCTGGTCATCCAAAATTAAACACAAACTGGCTCATTCAAATTCAGCGTTCATACAATTTCATTCTCTCTGGCACTCAAGGTTAAGGTGATCCTCAAGGCTAGCTGCTTAGCATGCAGGGTTGACCCCAGGCAGATTCCTGCTGTCCATCCAGAGCAGCTGCGGCCATTCTTGAGCCTACAGATACAACTCACTGCAAGGCTGACTCTCGGAACATGTGTTTTTTTTTCAGGATTAGCATACCAGTGTTATCCCAGGCCATCACAAGGCTCCGTACGATAGATTGTTTCCATAGAAACAGTGTCATTATCTAGGTGAAGCCAATTTATTGTGTCTTTTTTCATCCCTAACCTATTGAGAAGCGAAGGGAGTGCGAGAGCAGAAGAGAGGCAAACGTGTAGGGGGTAAGTCTCTCACCTCAGCGTGGATGTTTGGGACGGATCCGCTGGAGCCATTCTCGGCAATGGCACAGTTAGAGCTGTTCGGAGAACTGGGACCCGAGCCAGGAGCACTGCTGCACATAGAGGACACTGAAACACACACACACGGATTTCAATAATCACATTTTAGCTGCAGCGTTAGAAAATATAGCTGATGATTTCACAATATTTTGTGATTGATTAAACCATTTTTAATGTATCAGCAGGATATTAAACGGTTCCCTTCCTCCAAGCAGCAGTTATATTAACAGCACAGGAATCACACAATACCTATGTGTTCATTAGTTCTGTTTGCAAATCTTCACACATCTGACAGCAGTTTTTTTAACAGGCTTATTTGAACACAACTCAGGTGCTGATATACGAAGGATTACATCTTCCATATAAACTATGTTTTGTGAAGCTTAATGCACAACTAATGTTTATTTTATCAAATTTATATTATTATTTTAATTTTGAGTCTAATTAAATAGTGCAAAAAATACATTAATAAAAATAATGAAAAAAAGGTAAAAAAGTTCAAATTTACACAATGCCAAATTTACAGAATTGTGCAGAAATATGTGCATTATTATAAATGTGCATTGTTATAGTGTCATAGTAGAAAGCAAATATTTTCCATATAACATTTTAAAGATACTTATGGGCCCCTATCACAAAATATGAACACACACACATACATATATATATATATATATATATTAGCATCTCTATAACTATGGCCAATGCGATACGAGAAGAGAGAATGCGCTTGAGAAACAGTTTAGAGAGGAGAAATCAATCTACATGTAAAATATTAGTCACAAATTATTGGTCTCTTTCTAAATAATAAAAGTATAGCGCATCTACTAATAATTATATATAAATAAATTTTTACTGATGGAAATATGTTAGAAATTATGCATCATGATACAAATGCCAACTTGTATCCGATGCACACTTTTTATAAATATAATGTAAATAATTGTAAATACTTTTTCCAAATATATATTTTTTTATTAAAATATATTTAGATGCCTTTATACTTTAAAACAGGGGATCTGTCAAAGAAAGATCATCGTATTTGGAAAGTCCTTAGCATAAAAAAGTTTGAGCCAGAAAGAGTAGTTCTTGGTTCAAACCTGTTCACAAACATGGTTTACCTGAGATCTCAATCGCCCTTTTCTTGAAGGTGCTGATCACAGTACCATCTTTCCGTCTAAGAAGTGGGCTGCTCCTCCTCTCAGCCACCTTCTGTTTTAACCGTGAACGTACCTTCAGATTGGGCTCAGAGGCTGAACAGAAGAGAGAAAGAAAAAGATTCAATTACTTAGAAAAGTAACAGCAAACCCAGCGTGATTTGACATATCACTTACGGGGTGTGAGTTGCAAAGCAAAGTTCACTATATTTGCTCAGGGGCTTGTTCAAAACCCTCCACCCTGAGTATGAGCAATTACAATAGTGATGTTTCACTTAATAAGCACAACTAATGAGGGTTTGCATCTGTCGCTCTTGTGCATCAGGACCATGGACAGCAACCGCCCGTCCCTTCCCATTTTTCTTTCTCCCCTACACTCACACACACAAAATGAGCTATAGATAAAAGTTATATTTACAGCGTGCCGATTTTATCTCTTGTTGATTTCGGAGACGCCGGGCCAAATTAAACTAATTGAAGTAAAAAGGGATTTGAAAGAGGAAAAAAAGAAAGAAATTGGGGTAATTATCCAAACAGGCCGTGTGTAAAGCGGCTTGACCGAGCCCTATGTGTTTTTCTGGGCCCGTTTGTGCGTCACAGCCACACTGGGCATATAGAGCAGAAAGGACTTTAGCCTCTAATGCTATCAGTGACTTTAGTATGGATTTAATTAGCTTTAAAATAAAAGTGTGAGACGAGGGGGAGGGGACGGGATGGAAAGACACACACTAACTGAGGGCACGTTATGTAAGAAGATTGCTGTGGTGTTGCCATAACAGTGGCAATATAGAGTAAGCGCTTCGCCCACGGTAACAGACCCGTCTGCGATTACTTTATCAGTGTGCTGAAGTCCAAGCTAGAGGGCACGTGTGTGTGTGTGTGTGCGAGTCTTCCTATCCTCCGGATGGTATATGTGTTAGCTCTATAATAGAGAGCTTTATAAAGCAGCGTGGGTGTGACAATTTAAAAGATAGCAGTGTGTAAAAAGCAGATAGCAGATTTGTGTGTGTGTGTGTGTTTGTGTGCTTGTGGGAACAAACTCACTGAATCTGTGTGGGAGTTTTGGAGTATGGCTGGCGGCTATAAGAGTGAACAGCAGATGACCAGCAGTACTTTGAAAAAAACCCTCACAAATATAGTCGAAAACATGTCAGAAATGATTTGAGACAACGTTTGAGGTGGCTATCGGTATTTGAATCTCTCATAAACAGGCTAAACTGTGTTTCGCTTCAAATCTAATAATGGCAGCAGGTTGTGTGAGGGTTAAATTGCAAGGTAGGCAATAATAAATATAATTATGTTTGTATGAAAACGATTTTCTCACTAATATAGCTATTAATATGCAGTGCTATTTAGGGCTGGGTAAAAAATATTGATATGTTGATTTTAATCGATTCCATTTTTACGAAACGATATTGATTCTTAAATCCCAAGAATCGATTAGTCTAGCCTGTTTTCAGTTAATGGACAGAACATTGAAGGGCACCTCCCATCCAATAAATCGCAATAAGCATTGTGCGTTGGTACTTTAAATATGAAACAAAGTCTCAGATTTCAAATTCTGTCCGTTGTATTGCAGTATTCAAACAATAAATGCTGTTTTGGTGCTGTTTAATGTGGAGTGACAGATCGCTGTAGCGCCTCGATCAACAGCCGCAGCAGCGCGAGGCGCACGTGAACATGACTAAACATCCGAATGTAAGTTAAAAGAATGAGTACAACTTTCATGTTTCCTGTAATCGCTCATTAAGTGTTTCAGCCGCGCAAAGACGTCAATATAACGGCTTGTAAACAATGTCACGGTCTCAGAAAAAAACATATTCGGTGACCATAAACTCATTAGTCAGCTAGAAAATTAAACTGTAGAGAGGGGCATTTTGCTAAATATATGCACAGCCACCATTTAAATGTGAAAAACCCCCGAATTGAAGTAGAAATATTATGTAATTGTAACTTTTATTATAAAAACTTAATTAAGTGTAATTTAAGCAGCTGTATAGCCTAAAAATCAGTTAGTTTTAACCTTCAATATTATAGTAATGTAGTACCCAACTGACTCTCATGTATATTTTACAGCATTAGTTAAGAGAATTTTTTTCCTTGAAGAAATTTGGCATGTGTACCTGATATATATCCAAAATAATCGATATTGAATCGAATCGCAAGCTTGTGAATGAGAATCGAATCGAATCGTGAAATTTGTGTCAAAACCCATCCCTAGTGCTATTATAGTTACCTAGAACCAAAATATAAACCATATATATATAATATATATATATATATAATGAATATATATATAAAATGACAAAAAATTACTACAATTTTAACTAAGATTAAAATGAAAACAAAGAACTGATTTGATTATTAATAAAAACTATAATAGTATCTCAACGGTATTAAAGTAACAGTGCTCTGAGGTGTGTTTGTGTGTAGGTCCGCTGTTCTGATGACTCATTATGACTCACACCTGCAGACTCCTCACTTCATCCCTACACACACACACACACACCCTTGCATCTTCTGTGACACCTCTGCAGTGTTAAACAGCTCAAACTTCGCCACACAAAACCGCTGGTGACTCCAGAACAGCGTCATTCATGCACAGAAAGAAAATAATCATCTAAAATTTACATGCAAACACTCATGCATTGGCTTATTCAATCCACTGATGGTTTATAATGCAGTGTCAATGTCACTTAGCTATTACTCATTAACACAATTCATTAAGATAACAAAAATAACTACATTTGCATATTCCCAGAGGAAATACAGGGCTTGCAAAACAGTAAAAGGATAGTGTTTACTGGTAAATTGATCCAGAAAAAGAGAAGACAGCCAGAGGACTGGAAGAAAAGGCCACCCAGCTGACCTCAACAGCTGAAGTGATCACTAGAAGTTACAATTTAAAATAACAGTTTTCTATTTTAATATATTTGACATTGTAATTTATTCCTGTGATGCAAAGCTGAATTTTCAGCATCATTACTCCAGTCTTAAATGTCACATGATCCTTCAGAAATCACTCTAATATGCTCAGGAAACATTTCTTATTTTCACTGCTGAAAACAGTGGCTGCTTATTTTTGTGGAAACTGTGATACATTTTTTTTCAGGATTGCTTGATGAATAGAAAGTTCAAAAGAACAGCATTTGTTTGAAATAAAAATTTTGTGTAACATTATAATTGTCTTTAATATCCCTTTTGATAAATGTAATGCATCCATGCTAAGTAAAAGTATTCATTTCATTACAAAAAAAATCATACTGAATTGTAGTGTAACATTTACACAGTAAAGCAACAGTTTATTTTATATAAACAAGAAGCCTACTCACCGGTCTTACGGAGAGGGAAGTCATCCTTGCCTTCATAGGACCCTAACAGTGGGGGGAGTTTGTAGGTGTTGCTCTGTGTAGGGGAGCTCTGCTCCAGGGATGCGTGGTGAGCCCCCCTAAAAAAACAAACACAGTCCATTACAAAGACTCATCCATCACAATTCAAATGAGACCCATAAACTTTCAGCATAATGTGGCATGATGTAATATCAGTTTGATCATGCTATGAATTAATTCATTTTACATCATACTGCAGGGAAATAGTGCACATTGAACCTGTCTTTGATATATTAACTAAATTTAAAAATAGTTGAAAAGGTGCACTTTGAATTGGGTTTACCAGCCCAGAAGAAGGCTGAGTGATATGGACTTTCTCTCACCAGCACTTCTGGGGGAAGGAATGGTTGAGTCCACCGGGGCCGGGTTCCTTTTTGCTCAACAGGAACTCCTGCAGCTTCAGTTTGACCTCAGTACTGGCAATAGCACCTGAGAACAGAGTCAAAGGACATCATAAATACATATATATATCAGTGTCTTTATCTGTGTGTATATTTATTACAATTAAGATTTAAAATTTGAATTAAAGAAGGATTAAAATTGTATTTATTCATTTGATATCAAAGCTAAATTGTGATCAAAAATAGAGTAAAAACAGTAATATTTTGAAATAGTATTACAATTTAAAACAATGCATTATATAACAAATTAAAAAATGCATTTTATTCCTTTGATATCAAGGCTAAATTTTCTGCAGCCATTTCATGACATCATTATCAATGTTTTCTGTGCTGCTTAATATTTTTGTGTAAATTGTGATATGAATAAATAGGACAAGAAGTTCAAAGGAACAGCCTTTATTTGAAGAAGAAATATTTTGTAACATTATAAATGTCTTTACTGTCACTTTTGATCAATTCATTTTGTCCGTGCTAAATAAAAGTACAAAGTACTTTCAATAAATAAATAAATAAAAAAACAAATAAAATTACCGATCTCAATTTTTTTGGGACTGTACTGTATAACTGATCCAATACCAAAAACAAATAGTAAAAGATTGTTATTTTAATTATTAATAACTAAAAAATATATACCTTTATATAAAATATTTTATATAAATTTTTTTATTATAGTGAAATTACTATACACTATGTCTTCCAGTTTGTTAGCTTAGTAACATGCTAACATAAAATTCTACTGGTATTAATAAGAGTCAAGTGAGTGCTGCACATAATAGCTGCCTATGTGTGCACTTATGAGGTTACTATAGGATACTATGTAGGCAGTAGGCAGCTTACTAGGTTTTGAAAATGATCCAAATATGGTATATATATATATATATATAATTTTTTTGGTGCAATAATGCCTAGTACTGCATTGTGTCGTTTTTAAGTGTAAACAACCAAAGATGAGAAATAATAGAGCAATTGGTTCCTACTGTGCCTAAAGTACTTCAAGGGATCCATGACAGTGTGTAATATAGCAGCAAACAACAATAAACATTAGCTATGTACTGCTCAGCAAGGTGTTTATTCATTGAACCAAAAGGTGAACAGTAGGGATGCACCGATACCGATACTGGTATCGGTATCGGGCCCGATACTGAGCTCCTGTACTCGTACTCGTTAAAATGCCCCGATACTAGTGCTGGGCGGTATGACCAAAAATTTATATCACGGTATTTTCCTAAATTATACCGGTTTCACGGTACATGACGGTATTTTTTTTTTCATGCATGAACGGTGTTAACCATATTTTCTACTGATTGAGAACACATACAGCTGTTCCCTCACCACAGTGCAACAGTGAAAAGGGACCCGTTTCAAACAGTGTCGCGTTCCGAACGTTGTTTAAGTGACATACACCGGTATTGCGGTATTTAAAAAATTCATATCATAACAAAAATAAACACCATATTCGGTATGAACCAGTATACCGCCCAGCACTACCCGATACCAAACGCCGATACCACACAGCATGTGATAAGTGCCATATTCAGACAAAGAAATACCGACAACAGACAGCAGAATGGGGTTATTAGAGATTAAAGATGTCTACGAAGTATATGTATGCAATGAATATAAAACATTCAGTATTAATGCCTGTATAGCTGATTTGCGCCAGCTGGTAAGCAAAGCACGCTGAGTGGATTGAGCGCGCGGCGGCGCAGATGCGCAAGCTTGTCGAGTGAATATACCTTTCTCACAGACATCACTGGAAAGTACCTGGATGACAGCATGCCCAGGAGACTACATGCTGTCATTAAGGCTAAGGGTCACCCGACAAAGTATTGATAGTTGTGTAAATATTGACAGCTGTATGAATAATTTTTAGTTTATTGTAATCCATTACACACCTTTCTATCAAAGTTATCTGACATTATCAAGCTGAGTTTATTATGACACAGTTTAACTCTGAGTTCTTGTCATATTTTATTACCATTTTCTAAACTATAGCAAATAAACTGTGATAATGGTATCGGGCGAGTACTGGAAAAAGTGGTATCGGTGCATCCCTAGTGAACAGTGCATTTAAACTATTCGCATTTTGGAAATCAGCATCAGAATAAGCAACAGGAAATGATGAGTGGCGACCGTGCCGTGAAACGAGTTCACTGTAGATCTATTGTAGTGCATATAATGGATGGATTAATGGAGCGATACGTACTCTCTTTACCCTTCTCTTTGTTCCGTAGCATGATGAGCTGTTGCTCCAGTCTCTGCTTCTCCATCTCTTCGTGACGCTGCTGTTCCAACTTCCTCTTCTGGTCCAGCTCCTGCTGACGCTTTGCGGCAAGGATCTCCTGCTGTTGCTGTTTAGAAAGAGTCCAGAAGTCAAGAATCAAAGTTCAAGGAGATGAGGTGTACAGAGAGGACAGAAAGGGTCATACCTTCAGATGTTCCTGTAGCTGCACTTCATGTTGGCGCGTCAAAACCTCGTGCTGCTTCTGGAACTCGGCGAACAATAGCTGTTTCTGAAGCTCTTGTTGTTGTTTGAGCAAGAGCAGCTCGTGCTGTAGTTGTTTTTCCCTCAGCGCCGGGTCCACCGTGCTTAGCGCACTCAGACGCGGGTCCGTACGCAGGTCCACCGGCCCTCCGCTGCCTCCGCCCTGATCTCCCCCACCTCCCACCGGACTCTGCATCCCAGAGGGGAGCAAGGTCTTCACATCCACTGCTGGAGAGACAGAGACAGTCAATAAGAGAGTCATTACAATTATGATAACCCATTAAACCTTAAAGATGATGTGTGTAATTCATGCACCACAACATGTTCTTCTACATATTTAAAACACCCTTACCTTTTATCTTTTTGTAGTAGTTTTAACTACAAGTAAGTAACAAACAGTAGAAAAGAATATGCGATTAATCGCATCCAAAACAAGAGTTTTTGTTTACTTAATATGTGTGTAATCGTACTGTGTATATTTATTATGCATATATAAATACACACACATACAGTATATATTTTGAAAATATTTCCATGTATATATTTATATTAATATACTGTATATTATATATAAATATATTTAATATATGAACATAACATATTTTTCTTAAATATATGCATGCATGTGTGTGCATTTATATATACATAATAAACATACACAACACACACACATATATTATGTAAACAAAAACTTGTATTTTGGATGCGATTAATTGCAATTAACAGTATGACAGCACTACTTTATAGTAATTTAAAGCGTGTCTTTGTGTGAATGAATGGTTTCATTTACTGCACACATACTGAAGCGCACTTGTGATGCTTGCAGTGTTTTCAGCCTCAATATATGAGTACATGAACACAAAAACATAATCTCCGGAGCTGCTCTGAGAGTCACTTCAGGAGCATTTTACCATTTAATTTGAGAGAAAGAAAAAAAAAAAAGTAGAAAAAACTCTTTACAGCAGCCCGTCAAAATAAAAGTTTGGTTTAACTTGAAGAAACTGTGATATAAATATATTACTTAATGTAATGATAGTACTACTACTAATAATACAATTATTAAAATGTTATTTTTTAAGGAATATTTACTAGAGAATTATTTACCAGAAAAATGTAAATACACAACACATGTATTTCTGAAAAAAATATCTGAATGAATAAATAAATAAACTAAAAACAAACAAATTTTAAAAATAAAATCAATTAATTAGAGTTGCTTTTGATTATTAAAATTTAATGAAATCATTCAAATTGAATCCAGAAAATTAATGGAAGACACATAATTTGGTTAAAAAAAACTTCATAGGGCCTTAAAATTTTTATTTTTGTTAGACTTTTACTAAATTGCTGTTAAATTGTGTAAGTTTCAGCATTTCAGTTAAACATGCTTTTTGGTAATTTTTTTATTTAACTATTAAAACAAAAATTAAAATGTAAAAAAATGGAATTTGGAAAAAAAAAAAATGGAATTTGGGAAAAAATAAAACAGAATTCATAGGGCCCTATACATGCTAGGTTAGCAAGCTAAAAAGTTAATGGTATGCTAACATAGAAGGTTAATTATTTTGCAGAAGGCCAAATCAAAGGCTATTGGTTACTAAGATGCTAAACTGAAAGGCTAATCTGTGAACAGTGTACAAGCTATTAGGCTAAACCGTTACCTTGCAAGTGGAAGAAAAAAACCAATACGTGTTTATTTAATATAACAACGAATATCTTTTCTCTATATACATATATAATGTACGTGACAATTATATCATAGAGATTTTGAAGGACAAACTGGACTGCTTCAGGACCTAATTTAGTACCAAAATGAAACAAAAAATTCTTTAAAATTCAATATTCTGGTCAGAAATATTTTTTGAAAGCAATTAAGACTTTTATTATTACTTTATGAATACGTTTTATTAATCAAAAGTGACAGAGATCTTTTGTAACATTGTAAATGCCTTTACTCTTTCAAATGAATGCTGTCCTTTTGAACTCAAGTCATCAAAGGATCCTAAAATAGCCTAAATGTATCACGGTTTCCACAAAAATATTAAGCAGCATAATGTTTTTTAACATTGATAATACGGAGAAATGTTTCTTGAGCAGCAAATCAGCATATTAGAATGATTTCTGAAGGATCATGGGACACTGAAGACCGGAGCAAACCCCAAACATTTGTTAATCTGTGTGTATCTATATACATACACAGACCTGTTGCATTTTTATTTTGTAGGGGATCACCTCTGCATGGGTTCAAAGTTCAAACACGTTTCCTCAACCTCTCTGCTAGTACTACTTAAAATAGCATGTTGACACATAAACTTACAATCAGTTTAGAGCACACAGTTACATAAGGAAAGGCCATGGGTGCATTTGCAATTGAGACGTTACTATATAGTTCATGTACGATGCATTTGCATTTGTCTGTGTCTGCCCATGTTACCGTAACCAAGTGTGTGGGCTCAAATGTCGACAGGATAGTGGACGCTGCAGTCTTTTGTATAACGAGCCAGTTGGGAATTCATCCAACTGAGCCAAACCAGCTTCACCCAGGAAGCACATCACAGAAAAATACCAAAGTTGGTGTAAAATCAGTGTAAAAGGGCAACAGTCATGAGGAAAAAGTAACAGCCAAGGCCGGCCTTATGGTAGGGCTCTGTACTGGTGAAGAGGGCATGCAGTTATATAAACTAGTGGGGAAACCAAGGTGATGTCCTAAGGCTTGTTCTAAAAAGCAGTCCAACCAATAACTTTTTCTCCATCTCTGATATTTCCAATAGCACCACTACCAAAAAACCTGAGTTTCCCAAAGCTTCTCAGCAAATATAGCAAATATTTTTGGCACAAGTGATGTACTAAAAAAGGCCCTACAAACCCATCATTTCTGCTTTTGTTGGTGTTACTTGTTTTTCCCTCCTCAAATAGTCTTTTTAGTTTCACTGCATTTAAGGTGGCATTAATGAGTTGTCATGGGGATAGCGATGTGTTTTCTGCCTCTTGCACAAGTTAGTTTAAGCTCTCTCCAAAGGCATTCAGTCAGGGAAACAGAGCGCTCCCATTAAAGACGACCAGGTCATAACAGTTTCCGAACCTTAGTGCGAATCAAAGTAGTGCATCTCAAAGGTGCTGGGGAACAAAAAGTGTTTGCTTCTTACTTCAAGACCGAATAATTTTCGTCAACAACATTTTTTTCACCAACGACAACGAGACGATAACGAACTAAAACTCTTTTTGAATGACAAAAACTATGACGTACATCTATTGACAATCTATTGTTAGGGAGGGACGATTTGGGAAGAGATTCATTCAGAACGAATACTAATTTCGCTCCGGTTTTCTGAGCGCAGACACTGAAGCACACACACAGAAAGCACGTCTCACAGCGTGCAAGTAGTCTTTCGCGTCGCATGAACGGAGAATTACACACAAAATTATAAATCAAAATTTGCTGTTAAAATTAACACTGTTTTGAAGATTTGCTTGGCAATTTATGGGTTTGCATTATGAGTTAGAATGCTCATGGCCTGCATCTCAATTCACAAACTATAGTACACATTAAAGTTACATACATCAACAATATCGAGTAATTTGAGGAATTATCTATGAATTGCTTTCTGTAAAATATTTTTGGACTGATAAATAAACTAACTCAGTGTTAGACTAGAAATTATGTATTTTTGTGATACTTTTTGGATCGACTTGCATGATATGTTTTAGACCTATAATTACAAACTATGATGACATTGCTAAAAATTTTGTCAGTTATTTCAAAAGATTATATGTGACCCTGGACCACAAAACCAGTCATAAGTTGCACGGTTATATTTGTAGCAATAGCTAAAAATGCATTGTATGGGTTAAAATTATCGATTTTTCTTTTATGAAAAAAATCATTAGCTTATTAAGTAAAGATCAAATTCATAAATGCATTGTGACAGCCCTAGTTAGCATCTAGCATAATTCATTACCTTCATCACCATCAACACATTTATTACCATATATGTAAATAGATGAAAAAATAACCAATAGGCCTACTTACGCAAAAAGCATGCCCTTTTCAAACTATAAAAACAACATTACCTGGCCATTACTGGTATAAATTTTTTTTCATCACAAATGATTTGAGATGGGCTCATTTAAATCTTGCATACTATTTAGGACAAGATACTCTGTGAATTCGACAGCCAAACAATTTATTTTTTTCAATGGCAATGAAGTACTTTAAATTCTTGAATTGGTGTAGACTAATGTCATTTTTACTTTATTGCTAAATATTGGCACATCACTTAGGATAGTACAAAGCTATACGTTGTCTCTTCAAACGCCAAAGAGTCATCAGGGTGTCCTTGAGTCTGCAGGGACCTCAAGTGTGAGGTAGGATAGCACTATGCGGGGGCCCCTCCCCACTGAGAACACATTAACCCACGTCACTCAGCCTCTACCGTCACCCGGCTCGCCCTCCCAGCATCGGCTAAAGTTTACCAACATGCTAATGATCCGGTTTCTTCGCTGGATGCCTGGCGGAAGCGTTCGGCTTACATGAAAATCAGATTACTCCCCCTTTATCAGTCGGGGCTAAAAATAGCCTTCCTCGCACCCTCGGGCCGATTGACTGTGTCAAGCCTTTGACGTCAGAGCTTGGCCAGTCGAGGTCGCAAGGGCTACCGCTCCTGTTACTGACCAGATGAGCTTAGCATAGATTTCCCTAGACACCTTATAGTCTTCCAGGAGAAGAACAGGGTGCTTCCCATATATGAAGTTCAACGGTGTCTGCAACAAATGACTCAAAACTTTCGCTAATGAAGCACAAGTGCTAAAATTGTGAGATTACGGGTGAATTCCACATAAAATGCAGAATATACAAGATATAAAGATGGGTATTGTGAAATAATACTAAGGCAATATGGGCTTCAGGGGCTGCATGCAAAAATAAACAAGCTGCGTGAACACTGTAGTCTGATTCACAATGCTGTTACTACTAGTTGACATCAAACTAACATAACAATTAAGCTTGCTTATAGGCTTCTTATAATAAGGATTATGAGGGAAATACCAGTAAAATGTTATACTGACTTAAAAGGGCAACATAATGAAAAAAACATTCAACAGCAGATGTTATATCAACAACTTAATGAAAACCCTAAAATAACATATAGTTGCTGTCAAGTTTTTCTTGCAATTTTGTAGTACAGGTAATACAGGTAATTTTCATACAAGAGAATCACGTTCAAACC